CTATTTCTATATTAGTAGAGAGAGAGAGAGAGAGAGAGGGGGGAAGGTCCCGCTCCTCTTCGGAGTAGCCGTTAGAAGAACCCACTACTCATCAGCCGACTGTCATCCTGCATTTTCTTTTCTTAATAACAGCACAACACCCCTTTCATTCATCACGAAACACACCTTCAAACTCTCTCTCTCTTCTCTCTCTCTCTCTCTCTCTCTCTCTCTCTCTTCTCTCTCTGATTCTTCACAAAATAGAGAGCTTTAGACTCTCTCTCTCTCTGTGTCTCTGGCGTTGTCTCTTCCTCTTGCGTTCTTCTTTGTTTGTGTGTCTTTCAAACGTGAGAAGACATGTTCACTGACGGTCTTGACGAATCCGCCCTCAAATGGATCAACCAGGTACCGAAACCCTAATCTTCTGTCGGGAACCCTGTACTTCTGTTAAAAACTCCAAATTCTTTTCTGGGTTCTCTGTTTCAGCTGATGTTACAGCCATGAAACCCCATTGTTTCTGCAGCATTTTAATGTTCGGAATACTTTAGTCTTGTTTCAAAAATCTATTTTGTATTTTTTCACATGCATCTGAAGTTTTGAAGTGAAATTTGATATTTTTTGCATTTCAACCTAAAAACCCCGTTTCTCTTTCTGCATTTGAATTCTTTGGGTTCCTCTGATTTCTTTCGTAAATTTTTTGATGGCTGCTTTTCTCAAATTACTTTGAAAAGATTCTGGTTAGTTCTTTGATCTTTTTTATTTTCAGTAAATATTTTGATAGCCATCTTTTCTTTCAGTCGATATCAACATATCAGGGTTCTGGTTATATTTCATCTTTTTCAATAATTGTGTTAACAGCCATTTTTCCTTGTCTCTGCTGAAACTTTTTTTCCTTGCTATTTCAACAATGAGTCGTTTGTACACTCGTACCCAAAATAGAAGATGATCTCTCAGAGCTTGCAGAGTTCATTACTTCTAATTTGCAAGCTATTTTTCAGATAAGTTTGTGGAGCTTTCTTGGTAGACATGAAAAATCTAGAAATGATTATCCCTAAATTGCATTTGAAAGTTCCAAAATAGTTCTTTCTACAGAGTTGAAAATTCTGATGAACTATCAATCTCTCGGAAATCAGGGTTCGAGATGGTTTAAAAGAATAAAAAAGAACAAGTATATTTCTGTAGCTCTTTTCATAGTTGTTTCTCTTCATGAGTTCTGAGTCAATAATTTTGTGTACAGTTAAGTTATGTCTTGAATTCTTAGGTGTAATCTAGCATCTATCTTGTGTGACCTTGGGCCTTCTTGCTCTGTGGCCCGGAGGTCCAGGGTTCTCATCAGATTTTAGGCACGTGAATATGTTTCTTTGGATTAAGTAGGGTTTAATATGTAAGGTCTTTCCGTATCATTTAGGGTTTGGGGCAATTTTGCGCTTTTTGGGATGGTGAAACCATTGATTGTCTTTACCCATGGATTTAGTCACATCAGCGACGAACAACATAATGTTGGTGTTCTTCTCAGTTTTTTTTTTTACTTTGTGTTTGATCGAACTCTCCGATTAGGGTTTTTCTCAATAAATAAAACACAAAGTTACCTTTTATTTTTTTATCACAGTATTCTATGATTCTATAAATCATTCTAAATAAAACTCAAACTCAGGAAGCCTTTTTTTTTTTTTTCTCATAACCAAAGGTTTAAAGCTTGGTTGAGCTACTCAGACTCAGCAGATCGCTGAGCTGAGTTTTTAGATACAAACTTGGTTTATATAAAAATAAAAAATTAAAAAATAAGTTTTTACTAAATCAGTGTATACATATTTTGTATATAATTTTGATGTTTTCATGATAATTTGTGAGTGTTTGTTATCATATGCTAAATTTTTCTATTTTCTCATTTTTTTGGATTTTTTTGAATTGTTTCCGGCTATAAATCATTTTTTTTAAAGTCCCATCTTTTATACATTTTTCTCTATTTTTTGGGAAACTTAAATTGGTCTTATGTTTCTAGTTTTCTTAATGAATTTCTCCTCACTTGTTTTGTCTGTGTTCCTTCTCTCTTTTTCCTTTGGGTGTGGCTCTTTTTCTCAACAAGCAGGGTGTTAATGGAGATATTGCAGAACAGTCCCCGCTTACGAAGAAATTCAGTCTTGATTCTATCAGAGATCCACCGATTTCACCCCTTCAGAACAGGGAATATTTACCCCAAACCTTGCCACCACTAAAATTCTATTCAGGTTACCTAGGGCCACTTTATAATTCCAGTTTGGATCCGAACAATGAGGAAGAGAGCAATGCTTCCATATCTGATGACAATGAATCAGATTTCTCAGCTGGTTTTGAGGAGACATTGGCTTCTAGTGATTCTGATCTCCAAGAGAACCCCAGAGTGAGAAACTGTAATGAAGATTTGCTTGTTGTTGGACCAAGTTCAGAAGTGCCTCTTAGTGAGCCAGAGGTTAAAGCTTTGGGGGTGAAAGGGACTTGGAAGGGGAGTTTAAGAGTGGAGTTGCCTGAAAATGCTCGGAGATTCACAGATGGGGACTTGGGGATTAGGGAATTTGTGAGGAACGTAACAGCATCGAGTGTTGGGGACAACATGCAAGATGCTATGGATCAGTACAGTGGCCGGGTAAGTTTTTATTTGTTATCTTTTTCCTCACTTAATGTGCTTCCTTTTCGACAAAGTGCTAATTGTTATTTTTGTTATTGATATATGGTTTGAAGTTGGTTCATCTGAGGCTTATCTCTAGACAGTGATAATAACACGGTTATTTCTCTCTTAGCGTGTTGCATTTTCTGCCATTTGTAATTTCTACCTATGATAATGGTAAAAAATGATTTAACTAAACTCATGTCTCTAGATGGTAGAAATAATGTTCAAAGAGTTTCCTTTACTACTATGTTTATTTCATTGATGGTAGTAATTTGGAAGTAGATTCAATTGATAATCACCTCTATATTAGGTAATTTTGCCACGGTATTTCTTCCTGGTTATTTTATGATGACCAAGCTATAATTGGCTTTACAAGACATTGAACTTGAGAATGGACCTTATTATGAGCATTGATTATCAGGTTAATCCAAAATCACAAGATAGAAAGTCATACTCTCACTGGATGCAACTTTATTATGAAACTGTCTTCCAGACAGTTTTAGAGAGTTGGCCTTTTTGAGATCAATTATCACAACCATTGGCTATTGAAGTAGATCCTTTGCTGACTGCTAAGCATATAGATCAAAATGATCCAGTCTCTGACTAGTTGCCAGTTAATCAGTTTTTACTCATGATTTTACACATTATTTGATTGCATACATGACCTATCTGATTTTACTCATGATTTTACACATTATTTGATTGCACACATGACCTATCGGAAATAGTTGAACGCAATGCAATATTAAGCCTTCAAATCAATTTGATGACTATAGTCACACACACACACAGTGATGAAGGAAAGATAGGAAATGAAATCTACCCTCTTTCCAATGCACTGATTTGCACATGTGACCTACCTGAAATAGTTGCAATATTAGGGCTTCAAATCAATTTGTTGACTATAAAGGAGAAGAAGAACTTACTTCTTTTAAAAACTAGACTTTAGTCCAAAATAACATATCCTTCTCATTCCCCCCCCCCCCTTTTTCTTGGGTAGGTCAGTGGTAGTTATCAAACTTTAGATGTAGCATTGGTAAATCAACTGCTAAATACTTAAGCCTAGGCCAAATTCCTATAACTAACCCAAAGCAATATTAGGTTGCTATGGTTCCTATTCCCCCTTTTTAATACAGGCAGGCACTCAAGGAAAACAAAATAAAGATAAAATATCTAAAAGGTTCCTCCCTCTATCTCTCTTATATCAGAGCCAATATTTTAGGAATACACAAAATATTTGTCCATCAATAACTTCCCTACTTTCCCTCACTCCTTCCACTTTCCTAGATGTCGCTCCCTATTCTAGCTTCACAACTTCAGGTCCTCATTCAAACTCACACACTTCTCTCTAATGTTCAAATATTTTGTTCTTTCCGAAATTCCTGCCCCATATTCGCATTAAATAGGAACTATAGGAACCCCGCATGATTCATTCATAAGTCCCAACTAAAATACAAGGAAACCAACGAACTAACTAATTCTTAAAGAAAATCTCATCCTAAGTCTAACAACTAAGAAACTGATCACCAGTCAAAAAAATAAAAAACTAGTACACCCATGTCAAAAAATAAATTTGAAAATTTTGATTAAGGCATCTCTTGATTTACATCACAGAGAGTGTGACTTACCCAAAAAAACATCAGCGAGAGGGAGGGAGGGAGAGAGAGAGGGAGAGAGAGAGAGAGAGAGAGAGAGAGAGAGAGAGAGAGAGAGAGAGAGAGAGAGAGAGAGGAGAGTAGAGTAGTAGAGTAGTAACGTAGTACGTACGTATACGTACTAGTACTAGTACGTAGTAATTAGTACGTTATAGTTAACGTAA